AATATCGCTTTGCAATAAGAAATTTAAATAATCGGTCTCTAAATAAAAGAGACTGAAATGCCTATTAACAATAAAAATCTATTAACAAATATAATAAATAATATTAATAAAATAATGAAAATATTAATTCTTATCAAATGCTTCTTTAAAAAGATAATTAATAGCTCTCTTGAATTTTTCCAAACTATTTGTCTAATGTCATGTGGAAGCTTGCTCTATAATTGTGGAGCTGCTGCTTCGAAAGAGCGAGCACCTAAGGTCTTCAACATCTTTCCCTTAGGGGGTTCTAAATAAAGACTATCATTAGATCTTAGGCTATATGAGGATTGTGATTTAATAGCAACAAGGCTGTTAATGTAAGATGGAGCTATACTATGGATAGCTTTGAACAAAGTGAAATCATTTGTCCGCATAGTATCACAAAGTTACATCATTTTAACAACATCGTACCACATATGCATCTGATATAATTTGGGTCTTAATGGCATCATATAGGTACAGGGGCGTAGCGAGATCTCGGTCATGGGAGAGGGGGGTAAAGTACCATTTACTGGCCAATACACACGCGTACGCGTTTCATCATCTAAAGTAAGAGTTTAATTTCCGCCATATCCACAAGTTTTCAGTAAAATTTTTCGAGTTGTCGGTCGCCCTCCCTTGCTACGTTACTACTTAGTATACATCATTTTGATCGCATAATATATATTAATCACATTGTTTAAGCATAATGGTATCCTATCCTATGGTTTGCTATCATGGTATCACACACCAGGTACTTCACTTGCCATCATAGTTTTACACAGGTACATCATCATGGTATCACCTTTACAGATACACCATCATTACATCACACAGGAATATCATTTGCAATCATGGTATCATCCAGGTACATCATCATTTACCATCATGGCATCACCTAGGTACATCATCATGGTATCACATGTACAGATACACCATCATTACATCACACAAGTACATCATCATTAACGATCATTACATCACACAGGAACATCATTTGCAATCATGGTATCATTCAGGTACATCATCATTTACCATCATGTTACATCACATAGGTACATCATCATTTGCGATCATGTTATCATCCAGGTATCACATATACAGATAAGCCATAATTACATCACACAGCAGGTACATCATTTTTTGTCATCCCATATGTAAATCATGTTTGCTGCTTAACATCACATAGGTACATCCTTTGCCATCCCATATGTAAATCATGTTTGCAACTTAACATCAGATAGGTACATCCTTTGCCATCCCATATGTAAATCATGTTTGCAGCTTAACATCACATAGGTACATCATTTGCTATCATAGTATCCCACATGTACATCCTTTGCCATCCCATATGTAAATCATGTTTGCAGCTTAACATCACATAGGTACATCATATTTGCAGCATGGCAGCACCTAGGTACATCATTTTGCCATCACATAGGTACATAAAATATTTCAGCAGGGCATCACATAGGTGCATCATAGCACCGCATAGATACATTATTTTTGTAGCATGACACCACATAGATACTTTTTGAAGCAAGTAGACCAATTTTAGATCGTGGTATTACAAAGAAGGCAGTTCATTTTTGGAGCATTGTATCAGGAAGATGCGCATTTCCCCCGAAAGTAATGATGATAGTTTCACTGTAAGCGAAGCACCCAAAGTCATACGCGTCCAACAGCACTGGAGGTTACTTATTTTGTTGCCTCGTTATCCAGTCACAATCTCTCCGTATCAATGTGCCACAATACTAAATCGCAATATGTTTTATAGACGGTTTTCAGTGACCTATTAATCCATCTAGGATAACGAAATCAGGTAAAAGAAAGCAATCCAGGAAGAGATAGTTGCATGCACGAAAGCGCATTGTAGTCGTTCTCAATCATCGCGAAATATGCAAAACGATTAAGAATAGGATACATTCGTAATGGAAATCAAGTGTAAGAGAACCTTCCTACAACATTTGACTGTTTTCGTGTGCTTTATTTACCTCGCTTTTCAAATGTAGAAAAAGAATCCTAATGAAGCTTTTGACAAAGACTACAAACTGTAAGAGTACAATATTTTTGGCAATCTTATGTTGGCGTTGGAGGATATAAGACAGACTCCATCCTGACTAAAGTAAATTTGGATATTCATTTCGAATGAGAACCTTTATTGCATCAGCCATGTTTCACTTGCGACATTTGGCCTTAGACAAATGGTTTTAATGTTTTTCAGTCGAGATGAAGGGGATCCCTTCCCTGAGAACAGAAGATTTTGAATAATTACAAAATTTCAATCCGGTACTCTAATTCAAGTACCTTGGATTCAATACATTGGATAAACAGTCTATAGAGGTTGAACGTAGTTGCAGTAGAGAAGTAGTAAAAAAAATTCATATGAAAATTATTACTAGACAACATGGCTGTTGCAAAAGCCCTCCACAGCAGGTGAATATGAGAAACAGTGTTCGCGCACCTGCCTGTCTTTCAGTGCTTGTACTACTACCACACCACCCTGAATAGCACATCAATCGCGGCTAATTTCGCTGCATATATATTGAATAGAAAGTTAATTAAAGCAGCTTGAATGGTTACTCTAACTTCTAGCAACTAGAGTCCAGTGCCCTCTACGTTAACGTATAATACACTAAACAAAATTACTCGATTCTGATTGGAATTAAATCGTTAATTGTACTCTGTAGAGTCACAATGAAATTGCTCAATTTTGTTGAGTGTATTAAAAACAAAAGATCGAACGATCTTCGCGTACAATTCGGAATTGATAGATACTCGTGATGTTTCCGAATTATGCTAGAGATCGTGCGATTTCCTAAACAAATACATTATCGGGCAGATTTTGAAGTGCGCACTAGAATCCCGTTACTAGACGATAGGATAAATCTTTATGCCGATAGGTTGTAGTTCAGTTTGTCTAAGCAGATACTCGGAAATAAGACCAGCGCGCACGACCATGTAAGACGTACAAACCGGATATCTTATTATGCATCATGCTTGGATTTACGTCAAGATTGATTTGTCTCTCATCTATATTGCTACTGATACAATAAAGAGTACGTCACTCTGCTGTTAGGTTTACAGCTGACAATTTTAAACATCAATATGATAAATCAAACTGGTATCTGAACAAAAAAATTCACATTATTCCGTAACGAATAATAAAAGATATATCATACTATCATACTTCGGCACTTTAGCCAACCAGTTTCGTTTCCCCCCCTGTGTGCTCGTTGTTTCAGCTAACACTCACGATACTGTTTTTATGTCCTTGCAGTGTCATACGTCAATTTCTATATCGGTTTTTAAATAATGAAAACCCCTTAAGACACATTTCAATAATTTAGGAGCTTTTAAATCATGTAGTAGATTTTCCTGCCCTTAGTTGAAATACGTACTAGAAACTAAGGCAATATGATCCGTCAGATAAAATGCATCAACTTTTTAACATCAATATCAGTGAGAAAAAAATGACTACCCTGTTTCTAAAACGGAAATATAGGAAACATATCTAGCAAGCGCTTGTTTCTCGCTATCTATCGATGGAAAGCGAAAGAAATACTAACATACAAAGTAAAGTTTATCGTAATAAAATAAAATGAAAAAAAWTTTCTAAAACTCGGTAAAACTGTAAATGGCTGTAGAATAGGCAGGGTAGTGATGGCAATCGAGACTGAGGAGCATCAGATCCAGCACCTAAACATGAATTCGTAAAATCCAAAGTCCAAGCGATAGATTTGAGAAATCCCAGTCTTGTGCACAGGCACCTGATTTGCTGACAGTCATATATTCAACTGCAAAACAACCGCAAAAGCCAGAACTCATGCCGGCAGGTTGTTGAGTCCGGCTCTTGCTTACAAAATTCCTCATAGAATTTCAACCCACACGGGGTATGAAATTACAGAATTTTGCAGAAATGATATGTCAATGGATTTGAAAACCTATACTAGTTAAAACGTCTGAATAGAATCGCTATTTAGTTTTTATACTTGTGGTAATTAGTTTCTTATATAAAAGATAATTTCTTTAGATATGCTGATTTAAAACTTTATTCATATAAACCTTACTTAACCTTGTCCAACTACTAACCATTTGATACTCGAATTTAGTCCGCAAACTAGCATTCTTAGTTGAAATAATAGATAGCACAAGATGCCTTATTAGCAGATTGTTTGCAATTTTTTTAACTTTCCATTTAATTCTGGCATAATTACAATGTGATGTGGGAAGTTATCGCCCACCTTTCGCAAACTAAAACCATGGTATCACCGAATCGCGGGCGTTTATACCACTGAGCACGTTGTATCGTCGCGGATATCCGATGAAATCATTAGGTAAGTTTGTTTGCACATTTTTGTCTGAAACAATCATTGCTTGTCTCTTTTTTTGCTCCTCCTTTTTAAATGAGAATTCTTTTTAAAGTATCAAAATACTTGCCATGCAGGGTTTTGGTCAATGACCTTCTTCAGTGGAAAAGACTATCTACTCCCACATCTATTAAAATGACATTTCTGCTCGCTTGATTTTTAAAAAAATAGTAGGCAGTTGTCCTAATACCGTATTATTATAAACAGTATTTATTTGACATGATACTACTTGAATGATGCAAAATTTGTGCGTTCGCCATCACACACTTGGTAGTAGTAGCTCGTTTAGTGATATGCTAATATATATATATATATATATATATTTTTTTTTTAGTTCACTTTTATTCAAATAAATCATTGATTGACTTGAGGTAGGCGGAATGCCCACATGGGATTATTAGGGAAGTAGGAAAGAGAATTCCTGTAAATTGATTCTTTTCGTCGTAGCATAAAGTAGGGTGTATCAGTGTGCAAGGGAAGGAAAACGTCCTACACAACATTCGTAGACCAGCGTTTTGAACAAAGAAACGCAGCTTGTAGGGAGCAACGATAAAGTGCTGCTGTGGACATGATGGAAGTGTTAAGTATGAAAGAATCACAACTACTACAATATTGTTTTCTATGACAAAAATTTAATTCCACAAATGAAATATGTACTACCACCAGTTGCGCCACAACATTGCTTAATTTCGATATATATGCATATATATATAAAGTGCCTTTAGGATAAGAGGAATAATTCAAAATCAAAAATATAAGAATTCTGTTTGTTTTTAGTATTACTATCAACTCTTCTTATAAATGTTTTATATATTAATCTATCATCATCATCACTTCATAAGTCTAAGTTACAAGATAACGAGATACATGACAAAAAGGTCATCGTGCTATAAGAAATATAGAACATTATATAGTTTCAAGACAAGAAACAAAGCATAGTGTAAAATTTTATCGGTTTTGCTTCTTTTTATCTTGCTCTTAGAAGAACAAAAGCGATTCGATTTTGTATATCGAATGCGCGGGATTTTAATGTTTCAGATTAGTCAGTAGCACCGATAGAACAGCAGCTTCGTTTGAGTTCAAACTTTAGGGATTGTTAAGGTCTTATAAACTGAAATTATACTAAAACTTCAATATCTAATACATTGAATGTCCACATAAACATTTCCAACGAAATCTTACAAGTACATACCGTTGTTTGCTTATGCGTTCAAGCGAACAAGAAAGTATCAATACAGCTTAAAGGTGTTTGTATTATTTCGGTGGAAGGAAAGAGTCACGCGATGTTCTGCATTACTGGTAGACTCGTTTTCCCTAACAATACATTTCCTGATTCTGCTTTTCTATCGACAATATTTGGCTAACTTTCTTTGTTTAAGTACGTTTTGGATGATTTACTCCATGTGGTCGAGAACTAACAGCAACGTGCTGGATATCAAATTTACGTGACCATTGAGCCACCGTCATCCCACGTCACGCCATTGCGCAACTTGCACAAGAGTCTGGAATGTCGTTCCGATGCCCTCGAGATGATCCCGATTCTCTGAATGACGTAGGGGCATTCAAATTCCTGAAATTCGTCAAGTGCCAAAGAGTACGTCATCACAAATACTTAACCAAAGTTTATTTGGTATCCATAACAGGTAACTCGTCTAGAACGTTCGGGATCAAAGGGTTCGGTCGTTACAAATTTGAACCGGAAGGTTCTTTATTCAAACTCCATGGCGTTTATAACATTCGAGCAATGAAATAAATAAACAAGTTTGTACCATTTTCCAAGAGTAGAAAGAATTTCATAAATTCCATTTATGATGACCTCTTAAAACGATGTAGCTGACCGACTAAAAAGCTAAGACTATAGATAGAGCTATTAATTCCAATATTTTACTTGCAAGCGTTGTGGATGTAATAGATCTTATATAGCGAAGGAGTAACGTTATCGATTAATTAGTGTTTTAGCTTTAAAGAGGCCAATCTCCAAGGGCATAACTTTTTATAATGATAAATACTTTATAGGATTAGATTATGGCGAGGTTATACGAGGGCAAAGAGCAGTCGACTATAAAACTAGAATATTCTCATTGATAAACCAATTAAGGGTGGTGTAAAATACTTCCTTTTTATCACTTCCTTGATTAAGAAGATTACTTCCTCATTTATCTGACTATTGTCGACTTAAAGTGAAAAAGATTGATGCTTTAGATTGTCACGATTTATCATATTGTTTTTTTATCAAAGGTGGGTAATTTAGTAGATTTTTGTGGTAACTTGTGTCCTCCAATTTACACGTTTAGTGTTTCATTAATCCTATCTCCTGTATTAAGTTTTCACATTTGTTTAAGATATTGGTATTTCGAAAATAATAGAAGTCTCCGCATAAGCCTTTTTTAATTTCAATATTTTATACCTTTTTTTTCCTTTTATAGCAAAAAAAAAAAAAAAAGAAAGCTCCAGACTTCCATATTAATTATTTCAGCACTCATTGGCTTTGATTTTGGTTTGAATTTACGTTTCAGTAGTTGCCGTAGTAGTATCCCCCCCGCCTCTGCAAATAGGATTTGAGTAAAACAGAAAGCAAACCTGCTAAATGCTTAAAGTTGTTTTAGGTATGGATTATAATATTAAAGCATACCGACAATACGAAGAGTAAAATAATTTAATGCCGAGACTACATGCTGAGCGATAATTCTAGATAAATATTGACCGAAATAAGAATTTGCATTTTATTCTAGAATGTCACATAATTTCTTAATTATGTATTTCAATCATTTTTGTCGTCTTCCTTTCTCCATTTTCTTTTTTCTTTTCATTTATACATCCATCTATCCTTTATTGCTATTACATTTGTTTATTAAACTTTTACTCTTAATTAGATTCATTTTAACAAACCGTGGTTTGCTATAGTCTACTACAAAAAAAATATTATTCATTTGGAACTTTTTTAAATTTTACTCTACAATACAACGATAATGACCGCGGTTCACTCTGACACTCACACCTTCAGTCCTAGTTTTCA